GCTCTCTTAAATTGAGCAAATAATAAAAATTCCCATTTCTTGATTAATCTACCATTTTATACTTTAATTAAGGATTTGTTCAGCAGTGATTTTGAGAATTGATTTTTTAACTGTTAAGAGAAAAGGGAGATCATCTATGAGAGAAGAAGTCAAAAATTACTGCTAGAATAGTGAAATAATGGTCAAAAAAATAATTTTTTGGGGGTGAAAAATCACTCCCAAACGGGGCCTAAATCTACTCTTGAAATAAAATGGTGTTGGAGTGGGCAAACCTATTCTTGACGGCGGAGGAAGCCTTGTGCTAGGAAAACGTGCGATCTTTCCTTGTTCAAGATTGGGAATGTCCATTTAACGGCACACCTTTGGGGATTGTATCCATAAATATTCATCATCCAAGCAACTTGTGGTGAAGTAAATGCAATTTCTACAGATTGTGGTGTTATATCTTCTAGGATTGTAAAAGAGAGTGATCCACCATTTGCCGTTGGCCACCAAAATCTGGACAGCAGATTTTCAATGGTCCATTTAAGTGCATGTTGGCTTCCCTTCAACCAGGCCATTGCCACCGCACTTTCTTCCTGCATTACTTCCCGTTGGATTTGGAAGATGAATTTCGTCAAACACAGATCAGCTCTGATTATATCAAATTTTGTGTCAATTTCGTTTTTCTTGTTTAAAATAGTGAGCATGTCTTGTAAATAGCTAATTCAAATGAACTTGTACCAATATTTATATAGTATAGGTAGGAGAAGAACAACTATTAGAATGTTGAGTAACTTTACAAGAATTAAAGTAGCTCCATAAATCGTTGTCATGTGACAATGAAGTAGCGCTTGCTACATGGAGACGTCGAATGTTTCTACCATTTGTTTTTTAGATGTATAGCTCATACGCCTTAGATAAGTTTTTCTACATATTACAATGTGTAGCTGGAGATTCATATGTTAAATTAATCGAAATTGTCGATACAGTGTGTTCCTACCCTCTATTAAACCTAGGGTCCGAAAATAATGGTCATTTCCTCACATTATTTTCTAAACTTAGCCGCCTCCTGTTTTACTCTATCGGAAAAGTTGGACTATTTTTATATTTACCAAAGTTCTTAATAGTATAATAAAAATGACTGATAAACAAGTGCACTAGTCGAATAATATATGCACATGCATACGTTAGAAAAAAAATTCAAATTTTTATTTTTATTTTTAGAGGATGTTTATGTTGTATGAGAAACGTCTGCACACATTCATTGTGTAGTTTCTGTTGCACTTGGGTAAACTAATTCCAAAATACTAGTATTTCTAAAGATGATTCAAGTATCCAAAAGGTTAATAAATCTGTAGTGGTGTCATCTTGATGTGATCCTTAATTGACTTGAGATTCAAGAACAGAATTCAAGAATTATAATGTTAGTTTCTTGAGTAATAGTTTCATTTGGCACAAATTCCAGCATTTTCTTCCTTGCGCTGTCAAACATCTCTATGCCATATGCCATATATCCTACTTGCATTTGGAGAGAGCATTCCCACATGTCTTTTTCCCTTAACCATGCACTATCTAACATATCGAAGGTCGTTTTGACCTCTTAACGTTACATCCTATAAATTTATCTTCTGATAGTGTATACCATCTCCAGATTCTATCCTCCTGAAAGCAATTGAAGATTTCCTTAGCGTTTGGTGGAGATTAAAATTAGATTTTTAATAGATGGTGGTAGAAGTTTTTGAAATGTGTTGTTGAAAGAATGTTGGATCCATAAAAGATGTGGTTAATATTGCTTATTTGACTTTAACTTAGATTAAAATTAAATTTTAATATGTACAAAACAGGCTCATGGAAATTAAAATTAGATTTTTAGAAGATTTTGATAGAAGTTTTTGGAATGTGCAGTTGAAAAGTTGTGGGATCTATGAAAAATGTGACTAATATTAATTGTTTGATTTTTAACTTAAATTAAAATTTGATTATAATCTGAGTCAAACAGGGGCTTAATGTTAAATATTAATGGTTATGTGAATCATTAGTTAAACATGGAATAGTGTATATATAGTAGAATCATGTATGATAAATGGCTTGTAGCTTTGAAAAATCGCAGTCTTTGTGCTTTGGTTAAGTTTTCAAGATAGTTTCTATGATCTATGTTGTCTTGGAGTGATATCTATCAATTGTATAAATCCCAAAATAGAAACGAAACAAGGGAGAGGAGCGCGGGAAGACCTAATAACAAAGTTGCAAAACTTGGAATAAGTTTTAAGAATACGACACATTTGAGTTAGTTATTGTACTATTTCTCATAAATGAAATTAAAACCTCAGTTATTTTCACATACCTTGAGCTCAACTCCATCTGCTATAGCCTGCTTTCTCAATCATTTATATCGCGAGTTTCATTTCATGTCATTATCTCGGGATGCAATAACAATAATTGCAAAATTCTTCAAAAACTGCCATGGCCAAAAAGGTGGGAGACTGCAAAGAAAAAAGTATTAGTTTTCTCATCCAGTGGAGTTAAAAAGCTTCATTATAAATCAAACCACCGTGTGCACTATTTCATTTAAATAAATAGAGAGGCTTGTGGCCATTGTGTGGAATGCACACTCCCTCTAGTAATTTAATGAAAAATCTTCCCACTTTGTGTGGAAAACACACTTCTCCATTTTTAAATGTATCATTACCACTGAGTGCTCTCCTAAAATGAAATCCATTATCAAGAGGATGCAAGATTGGCCAATCCCACCTACAGAAAGAAAGAAGGGTCTTGATTTAAAAAAAAAAAAAAAAATGTTTAGTCGAGTTTAGATAGATGTTTTAAGAGAGAAATTAGGTGAACTGGAAAAGATGTAGAAATAGAATTTACATGATAAAGATTGCATTTTCCGTTTCTATTTTTGTGCAACCTAACTTCAAAGCAAGATAAGACTCCAGCATCAATGGTGTGCTGGTATCGATTGCTGAAAATTTAGCCAGAGAGGGAAGTTTATGGATGATTATCCAGATGATGAGAAGCCTCGATGCTCATAGGGGATTGTATTACAACTGACGAGTATTTCTTATGCAAATGCTCATTAATTCTGTCTAGTCTAGTGTTAGTTCAACTACAATATATTAAAAAGGAAGTGCTTACAGCTTTAGATTAAATAAAACAAGGCTTGTGCTCCTCACACTTCACCTTTTTCTTTTCTTTATTTCCACTGCATCCATCGCCATTAATACTATTTTATTAAGTACCCCTTAGTATATATAACCCTGCACTCATTCTTGCAGCATTGTGTCTCAAATAAGAAACTTCTCATTAGTAATAACCTCTTAGCTATCTGCTACTTAGTATAATCTTCATGGCTGCCTCAAACCCAAACCATCTCCAAATTGTGATCCCTGAGCACAATGCACAACAAAATCAATGTGATTTTCCTAAAGATAAATACTTTGATTACTCACAAAGGGCACAATGGCTTCGTGCTGCTGTGCTCGGGGCCAATGATGGATTGGTCTGCACTGCGTCATTAATGATGGGAGTTGGAGCTGTTAAAGAAGATGCCAAGGTGATGGTTCTTACCGGATTTGCAGGACTATTCGCTGGTGCTTGTAGCATGGCGATTGGAGAGTTTGTCTCTGTGCACTCTCAACTAGACATAGAAATAGCCCAAATGAAGAGAGAAAAGAGAATGACAAACAATGGACAGAACGAAGTAGAATTGGAAAAGGAAAAACTCCCTAAACCTTGGCAGGCAGCCATGGCATCAGCTCTTGCATTTTCTCTAGGTGCCGTTGTACCATTACTTGCAGCTGCATTTATAGCAAACTATAAGGTGAGGCTAGGAGTGGTGGTGGCAGCAGTCACCTTAGCATTGGTTGCTTTTGGGGGAGTCGGGGCAGTGGTAGGCGGGACACCGGTGGCGAGTTCTTGTCCTAGGGTGGTGGTCGGTGGCTGGATGGCTATGGGGATTACATTTGGTCTTACCAAGTTAATTGGCTCCAGTGGTCTGGAAATGTGATTGCTAAGTTCACCTTCAGTTTCAGCTTTCCTAAATATGTTGAATAAAACTTGGGTTGTGGTTGAAAACGCTGTAACACAACAACAAATGATGTATTGTATAACCATCCTATGCTTTGTTTTTATTTCCTTCAATGCTTTCAAGTACTGTATTGTGCTCATTTTTAGAATATTTAAGTTCATGCCGATGGTAATACTCATAAGAGATATAAGCTAACTGTGGCCGGAGGATTTATTACACGAAATCGAATATAGATTATAGTGTTTCCTAGTGATATTAAGGAACTCTTCACAGATGAAAAGGTATAGCCCCGTCCTAAATGAAAAAAACCGTTGAAGATAAGACATGTAGCCATAAAATAGTGCGTCGACAATTTAATACCACAGTATCAAGGGGGATTCATTTAATAAGCCCAGTCAAACAAAAAATTTATTTAAAAATACTATGAACTATCTTTTTTATTTAGATAACCTTAGGATACAAAGAAAAGGAAAATGCAAATTTTAAATGACTAAAATATCCTTATATGTAAAAGACATAAAGCCCCAATTCCCCTTTCAATTTTCATTTAACCCTAATTCAATTTTGGCTTCATTTCTTCCACAGTTGGATCGACCATTCTCTATTATTCTTTTTCTTTTTTATCATCTTCTTCATGAAACCCCAAAATATATTATTATCATTATCTTAAATATTCACTTGGTTGAAGTAAGTAATCAAACCTTATAGTATTCTTCATGGGTATTTGAAGAAGAAGAGAAGGTAATATTAAATTTCAATATTTTGGCTACTTTCTTGTTTAATTTTTTTGAATCACATGTTGTGATTCGTGTTTATGGTGTTCATTTGTTAGTAATGATTTTTTTTTATTTTATCATCGAATTATAGATTTGATATGGGTTGCTTTCCCATTTTCTCATCAACTCTTATTTTTTAAGTGAATATGCTGGTAAACACATGTTTGGCTATTCTATTTGTTGTTTTACTATAAAACATATATTTCATTTTTTCCGTCCAAAACGACTTACATATCGTTTTCTAAAAATTATAACGACATACATCTCGTTATCAATAATGTACGAAGTTTGATATTTGATAAAAAATTTACAATTCTTATGTTAATTGTAATTATGGCCATCATGGATATGTTATGGATTCAATTTGTTTTCTAATTGAATATGAGCAATCAGTTGAAAGCGCTTGAAAATGAAAAATGCAATAAATGGCAAAGGGAAAATATCGATCATTCTTGTTTGAAAAATAATTTCTTGTGTAAGCTTGTATAAAGTTAGAGAGATGTTGAAGGTCGATACAATGCTATACCAAATGGAGAAGTCAACTTTTGTTCCTACAATGTCTAAGGCTCCAACTGTAAGAAAACTAGTTATGTTCGCTCTACTTGTAAATGTCAAACAGCTAGTAGTGAAACTTAAAGTTGTATAATTGTCATGACTTGTAATTTTATTATTTTGTATTTATTGGAAGCACAAAATGATTTATTAGATTTTGTAGTTATTGTGCTACTCTCACTTTTATGCTATTAGAACAAAGTTAAAATCTCTTTACGTTGTTATATTTTTTTACATTACAGATAAACGACTTTTATATCGTTATAGTTGACACGTAAGTCGTTACAATATGAAAAATGCATAGATTCATATAACGACATTGAAATTGTTCCTGAAACATAAAATGATATTGATGTCGTTTCAATACGAAAATTGCACTAATTTACATAAAAATATTGAAATCGTTCCTGAAACACAAAACGAAATTAATGTTGTTCTAGTATAAAAATATGCCACTTCATTGATTTTCATAATGGCATTGAAGTTATTATAGACCAATAATATGACATAGATGTCGTTATATAAAAAACTTACATAGCACACACGACATAGGGAACTGTTGCGCTCGCTTCCAAGGGACCATTTGCTCTCGAGTGGTAATGATATTGATAGCATTATATATCTATATTGTTGTAGTTATTATTCAAATTTGAACGATTTCAAACACGTCAAATTTGTATTAAAACAATATGGACATTGTTATGTTATTTTGTGGTTTGCTACATAACGATATAATTATCGTTTCAATATAATTTTGACAACATCAATATCGTTTCAGTTTAAATCATAAATAAAACAACATATATATCATTTAAGTTTATATAAAAAAAATATATATATATCGTTTTTGCTAAAAACAACGATTCAACGATCCACGACCACCCGACATGTATTCGACATAAATGGGACGATTGAAATAGGTCAACAGTGGATTTGATCTCACTCAAAAGAAACTATGGGAATATTTCTGTTTCCACGATTGTATACAGCATTCGAACTATTCCTATAAAAACAAATATCTTCGATCGTTATTTCTAAGTCATTTGAATGTCATCAATCCACTTGATGACTTCTTTTGATTGTCTTAGGTATGTTGAAGACGTGTTGAGCGGTTGCGGACGGTCGAATCATTATTTTTAGTCAAAATGTTATAATTAACATTTTATATGAAAAGAAACGATATCTATGTCGTTATAGTTATTATTTGAACTAGAACGATTTCAAACTCGTCAAATTTGTATTAAAACGATATGAATGTCGTTATTTTACTTGTAAGTCGATACATAACGACATCATTATCGTTTCAATACAAGTTTGACGACGTTGATATCGTTTTAGCTTAAATCATAACTAAAATTACATACATATCGTTGCTATTAAAATAAAACGACAATTATATCGTTTTTGCTAAAAATAATGATTCGACCGTCCACAACCATCAGACATGAATCAGACATATGTAGGATACTCAAAATAGATAATCAAGTGGGTTTGGTCTCACTCAAAAGAAACTATGGAAATATTTTCATTCCCACGATTGTATACAACATTCGAAATATTTCGACAGAAAGAAGTATCTTCGTTCGTTCTTTCTAAACCATTTGAATGTCATCAACCCACTTGATGACTTCTTTTGATCGTCCTAGGTATGTTAAAGACGTGTTGAGTGGTTGTGGACAGTCAAATCGTTATTTTTAGTAAAACGATATAATTGACGTTTTATATGAAAAGAAACGATATCTATGTCGTTATAATCATTATTTGAATTGGAACGATTTCAAACTTGTCAAATTTGCACTAAAACGATATGAACATCGTTACTTTATTTGTGATTTTGATAATAACGATATTATTATCGTTTCAATACAAGTTTGACTACGTTGATATCGTTTTAACTTAAATCATAACTAAAACTACATACATATCGTTTCAATTAAAATAAAACGACAATTATATTGTTTATGTTAAAAATAACAATTCGACCGTTCATGACCACCAGACGTGTATTTGACATATTTAAAATGATCAAAATAGATAATTAAATGGGTTCGATCTCCCTCAAAAGAAATTATGAGAACATATTTGTTCTCATGATTATATACCACATTCGAACTGTTCCAATAAAAAGTATCTTCGTTTGCTCTTTCTAAGTCATTTAAACGGTATCAATCTACTCGATGACTTCTTTCAATCGTCTTACATATGTTGAAGGCATGAAGGGTGGTTGTGGACGGTCGAATCGTTATTTTTAGATAGAACGATATAATTATCATTTTATATGAAAAGAAACAATATCTACGTCGTTATACTTGTGATTTGAATTGGAATGATTTCAAACTCGTCAAATTTGTACTAAAACGATATGAATGTCGTTACTTTATTTGTGATTTTAATACATAACGATATCATTATCGTTTCAATACAAGTTTGATAACGTTGATATCGTTTTAGCTTAAATAATAACTAAAATTAAATACATATCGTTTCAGTTAAAATAAAACGATACTTATATTGTTTCTGCTAAAAATAATGATTCGAACGACTACCAAGCATGCATCTGATATATGTAGGATGATCAAAATAGGTAATCAAGTGGGTTTGATTTCCCTTAAAAGAAACTATGAGAACATTTTTGTTCTCATGATTGTATACCACTTTCGAACCGGAGCGAATAACCTTCATTAGCTTAGTTCGAAATCCCCTTATATTGGTGGTATCAACCCACTTGACGACCTCTTTCGATCGTCCTACGTATGCTAAAGACACGACAGGTGGTTGTGGACAGTCGAATCGTTACTTTTAGGTAGAACGATATAATTATCGTTTTATATGAAACGAAATGATATCTCTATCGTTACACTTGTGATTTGAATTGGAACGATTTCAAACTCGTCATATTTGTACTAAAACGATATGAATATCGTTACTATATTTGTGATTTTGATATATAACGATATCATTATCGTTTCAATACAAGTTTGACGACGTTGATATCATTTTAGCTTAAATCATAACTAAAACTACATACATATCGTTTCAGTTAAAATAAAACGACAATTATATCATTTATGCTAAAAATAACAATTCGACCACCAGACATGCATCTGACATATATAGGATGATTAAAATAAATAATTAAGTGGGTTCGATCTCCCTTGAAAGAAACTATGAGAACATTTTTGCTCTCATAATTGTATACCACCTTCGAACTATTTCGACAAAAAAGTATTTTTGTTCGCTCTTTTTTAGTCATTCGAGTGATATCAATCCACTTAATGACCTTTTTCGATCGTTCTACATATGCTAAAAGCATAACAGGTGGTTGTGAACGATCAAATCTTTATATTTAGCTAAAACGATATAAATATCGTTTTATATAAAAATAAACGATATCTATGTCGTTATCATTGTGATTTGAATTGGAATGATTTCAAACTCATTAAATTTGTAGTATAACAATTTGGAAGTCATTGTCTTATTTTGTGGGTTTGATACATAATGATACTATTATCGCTTTAGTACAATTTTGATAATATTGATATCGCTTTAGTTTAAATCTTAACTAAAAGGATAATTTTAAAAATGACGATTCGATTGTCCACGATCACCTGACATATATTTATCGTATGTAGGATGATAAAAAAAATCACTAAGTGAGTTCGATATCATTCAATAGAAAGAAAGATAGTATCTCCATTTGCTTTTTTAGGGCTATTCGAGTGCTATCAATCCACTTGATGCCTTCTTTCGGTCATCATATGTCATTCTAATTATTATTTAAACTGTAATGATTTCAAACTCGTTAAATTTGAAAAGAAACGATGCATA